TTCTTTTGTTCCTGATAATTATTCCCCCAGAATATATGTTTGTAAATTATAACATATATTGTTACTAGTTTCCATTAAGAGCTTCTGAAAGACTGGGCTTCCAGAAATGATTACCCACAAAAGCAGTAGCTTTTAAGTTTTGCTTTTTATTTAAAAGCAAAATCACAAGTGTAAGAAACCTTTTGTAATTAAGAAAGAAATGCTAGAAGCCATGAAAGGTGCAGACAGATGTAAGTGCTTTTGAAATAATCAGCTGGCCAATTTGTGCCTGAACATAGAAATGTAAATCTGACAGTAAGTATGGGAAAATGCAGAAAAAAATTGTTTGGAAAGACTGTAGGAGTAGGAAATTTAGATTAATGGGTAGGAGAACAGGAGTGATATTTGATAACATGAAAGATAATGGTACATCCATAAAAAGGATGGGGTTTATTAGTATTTGGTGTTTATTAATATTTGATTTGATTCCATGTTCTTGTTCTCTTTAGAGGCTAAAATAAAAAGGCAAAGGTCTCTACACTGAAGAGGGTAACAAACTAGAAAATAAAAAGGAAGGGAAAAGGGTACAGTGATACACATACAGATTATAGGGTGGGCATCTTATGCAATCAGAGAGAGGTAGGATAGGTTTTGAATTAATTTGGAATTAAAGATTATGTATGGGAACATTGAAATGGATGTCAGATTCCAAGGCCAGGTATTTTTGAACTTGGATGGCTACAGTCAAGCACTTTAATCCACATTTGATTACTTAAGTGGCCAGATTTTTCATAGCTCCTCTTGAAATGAATTCTCTGTTTTAAATACTTAACACAGGAACTTGAGTTTGTAAATGTGGTCACGGTTTATGGCAGAATTGTCTGAAATTTTGTAAACCTTAATGGATGCCTGTAAGAGAGAAAGTGAGTGTTTTTTTGGTACGGGGTGGGGAGGTACTGAATCTAACCATGAATAAATAGGCATATTAGGTGAAGCCCTTATCCCATTGAAATCAATGGAAGTGTTGCTTAAATGTGGTCAGGATTTTAGGTGCTAATTTAAAACCATTTTAGATATAATAAAAATATATTCATGCAGAAGTACTAAAGATGTATGGGATTAAAGTTTGTCCCATTTCTGTTTCCATGTCAATGGCAAAACTCCCTAGTCTTTGATGGGAGCAAGATCTAACTTGTTATGCTTGGGGGCAGGGGCCGGCAGAAAAAGATAGCTTTAGAAATTAAACTGCTAGGTCAGGGGTGGGCAAATGTGGCTCGGGGGCTGGATGTGGCCTGCCAGGCCATTCTATCCATCCCACAGGGCCCCTAAAAAATTTAGAAAATTAATATTAATCTGCCCTGTGCTGCCTGTCATGCGGCCCTCATTGGCTTGCTGAAACTCAGTAAGCGGCCCTCTGCCCACAATAATTGCCTGCCCCTGTGCTAGGTGCTTCTTGCTCTCCACAGCATTTATGTATGACTTTTAACTGTCAGCTTTTATTCACTGGCAGCATTAAACCCTCCTGTATTAGCATGGTTTAATAGAAAGCAAAAGTTAAGTGTCTCTTAGCTGTGAAACATTCAGTCTTCTAAATAAACAACATGCATAACAACACTTTAGAGAGAGGTGAAAAATGAGAAAGGGAAAGAGAGTTTGGCCCTTTAACGGAAGCAACAGTGCTTAATTGTGTGTGTGTGTGTCTGTAAAATTAATGCCTAGACATTTTAGAAATGAGTGCTTTAGAAAATAAATAGAGCCAGATAGGTAGGCAACATTACAGTAGAGAGAGGTAGATGCTATTCTGAAGTTATACAGAAAGCAGGGCAGGATGTCACCTTATAGACTAAGTCACTGAGAGAAGCATGAGCTTTCATAGGCTGTAGCATCTGATGAATAAGCTGTAGGGTATGGAAGTTAATGTTTCCTGACCAAGTTAGGCTATGAGGTACCACTTCAGATTGCAGTAGTTAATAATGTTTAATAATGTAGTTATAGATATACATTTAATAATGTAGATTGCAGTAGTTAATAATGTTAATTAATGTTGTAATAATAATTACATAATTTTCATTAAC